TTTTTTGTTAGAGTGAGGTGAAGATAGTGTGAAGGCAATAAGCGGAGGTTTTATAATAAAATTGTGCAAGAAATTTTTTTTGTTAAAGCACAAAGAATGGTTTCATAGCAAAATTTTTGGGTTACAGATAATTTTTTAGAAAAGACAATATTTTGTTTTGATTTTATGTTATACCTAATCTTGCATTCTAATTGGTCGATCAGGAGTAGCGATATATCGCTATAGTGATAAATTACAATATCCATAAATCAATAATATAAATATATTTTAATACCTTCTTCATAGTCATTTATATTATTTATTAGAATTGTCCATGTAGAGTTTGGTATTGTTTGTTTTAATTTAGTTGGGTTTGGTCAGTAAAGTAGAATGTTCCAAAAGTTATTAGATATGTGGGTGAAAAGTTATTCTATTCTTTAATATAAGGTAGTAGACGTGTGCTAATATATCCATTATATTTACCCCAACTAGTATTTTGAACCATTCAACTGAAAGTTCAACCAGGTTGATCTGGGTAGACTTACAGGTATTCCTAGCCAATCGCTGATATTTGTTTACATTGGATAAAATAGGATATATCAATCCTATTTATTCAATGTAAACAAACATCAGCAATTGGCTGGGAATATCCGTAAGTTTACTCAGATTTGCCCCGGTTGAACTTTTGGTTGATAGTTCAAAACACTAACCCCAACAGACTATTTCTAGTAATATAATTTTAAAATCCCTTTAATGGTTTTAATCTTAACTTTAGATCTTTTTTTTTATCTTTATTAATATTATCTTTATTATCATCATGATTTGGTTTTATATTTACTATTATAGTTTCAGACAAATCTTTAATTGCTTAGCTTATATCATCTCCTATCACTATATCAAGTCTGATTCTTAAATATCACTTTATTGCATATGTTATCTAATAACAGTAAGTATTTTTAATAGTGCAATTAAAAAAAAAGTACATATATCATTATATAATATACTAACTACAGCATGATGTAAATCTATAGTTGTTTTTACTTCCCCAGGTTTCAAAAACAACCAGTTACAAACCTCAATACCATATCACTCATGCCAATGTCCAACTATTGACATTAATTCAGTATTATGATAATGAGGCCTATTGTCAGATATAACTTTAATCCATTTAGGCTTTTTTTTATCGATTCAAATACAACTTCAAATGCTAATGCGGTAAACCAAGTATCTTGCTTGATATCTGTTAACCAGTGATCATATGCTTTAATATCTAATTGGGATTAACTTTGTTTTGTAAAGACCAAGATCGTATATAGGGTCCAATCGTGTTTTTCAAAAATTCACCTTTTGATTCACGTGTAGACTGAGATGTTATTTGCATTTTATAGTCTGCAATAAAAAGCACATTATTGAAGTTAAGCTTTGCTAACGTTGCTTTAAATTAGGCATTTAGATAGACTTTTCGTGTTTGATGTGAAAGGTAATATAATAATTTTCCCTAGATTCTTTAATTTGTAAATATAAATTATCTGATAGTACTGATCTATGAATAAAATCTAAAAAATTAAACAATTCATCACAGTTGGAGCATCGTGTTTCATGACTATTAACACATTCACCGAATATGTAAGATACATAGTGGGAAATATAAGGATTGTATTCTATATGACTATCTGCTCTAACTATTAGCTTGTTTTTATAGTCTCGTTTAAGATGCTGTTTGAGTTTATCGAGACGCTCTAAAAGTTGTTTCTGATAAAATTGGTTAGTAAAAAAAATATTTTTAAATTATCAATTAAGGTATAGATACAAAAAACTTTTAGGCCGCTCGAGTAGAGATGCTGGTAAAATTAATTTCACTAATTCTACTAATTTAAACCAATAGTGATAAATCTACTTTAGCCACCTTGGCTTTATTTCACCAACATCTTTATTCTTAAGCAAGCGTATCTATGAAATTTGTACTTTACTCTAATTTTAAAAATTAAATAATTATTTACTAACCATGAAATTTTTGTCTGTAAAATTAGACAGATAATATTTTCCAAATTATCGAAAGTATTATATCTGTAGTCATGGCAAATCATACATAATTTATCAAGATCTTAATGATATTTAAGGTTCTCTGAATCAGCTAATCAAGCTATAAAACTAGTTCTTTTCATATCATCTGGGTAAGTTTCATAGAATTTTTTCCATATTTCACTTTTTTGATTGTGCAAATATAGGATCAGTAATTCTTTTGAATCTGTATAGTACGAACTTATTACAATATTATCTCTATCTTGAAAAAATGACAGAAATTGTTTTTCCTGAATATTGGTAAGCCTTGAGGCTATTCTTTTTGGCTTTTGCAGAAGTGGTACATCTAGGCTATAAAGCTATATATGTTTTCTGGCACTATTTATCAAATTGTTACTTATACTTAATTTCTTTCTGAGAGTACTATATGTGAATTTCTGGGTGATAATGAAAAGAATATGAATTTTACCATTGAACTCTCTTTTATTCAAAAGTAATGCATCTCAAAAAAATCTCAAAAAGTTGAATCTTGTGTTGGTTGTAAATTTTGCGAAAATTGGATGATATCATTTTTATAAAGAGTTTCTAATAATTCTTTGTTTGCTATAGGGTCTGATGCTTTGCTCTAAAACTCTATTAAAGATTCTTTTTTTAGAATAGGTGTTATATTGGTATACCCACAAGCAACAAACATTGACTACCATGTTCGTAATTCTTTTTTTTAAAAAGTATATTCAGATAGATAAATTTTTTGTAATATAAGCAGGAATTAAATAATTGTGCTTGTTTGTTGATACTATTTATAAAAGATAAGTGGCCAGTTTTCTATTGTGTTAGGAATTTTTCGTGATTTGATATAATGATTAAATACTTTTTCAAGCTATTGCATATTCACCCAATCATTTAATATACATGTTGATGATCCATTCTTTAGTATCTCTATATGTTCTCAAATCAATTTGTCTGTAATTTCAAAAATATACGATCTGGTATATTTTTTATGAATTTCCACCCTATTCCAAACATCATCTAGAGTTTGTTCTATGAATTGATATATACACTTTGATTCTAAATAAATTTCTAAATTATATTGGTTTTCTTTAATTTTAAATACAAACAGACATTGTGCACTACAATAACGTGTAGTAAACGAAGAAACAAAACTAGTGCCGACTCTATAGAATTTATTTTCGTCTAGATCACCAATACTTGTTATTGTTATATTAAAACTTTCAATTTGAAGAAAGAGTAGAAAAAATTCAACATCATCAATTAGTTATCGAATAATATTCTCATTTTCAAAATCTATAATGGCTGGACCAGAGTATTCTGTTTTTGTTTTAAAAACTTTTTGATAACATGCTTTAATCACTGCTGATGGATTTGATTCAATATCAGATTTAATTATATTGCAGATATATTGAAATCCAGGCTTTAATAGATTTTGTACGCTTTGCATAACTACAATACTAAAGATTTTATTGTTAAGTTTATATTCAATAACCATGTATAAATGATAAAGTATTATAAAATATTTTGTTTTATTAACTAATTTCAAATGAACCTTTTCCTACCAAAATTTGGACTAAATTTTGTAATGCGAGCTAGGGTCTATAATACCCTTGCTCAAGATTTTTGTATTGAATTGTTGCTTTCTTGACATTTCAAAAAAAGGAAATATATATATACAAAGTGTATATAATAAATAATAAAGTATTGTTATAGAACAGTTTATTATTTTATTAGTTTATTATTTCGATATTATATAATTATTAGTTATTATTATTTATTATTTTATTATTTTATTACAGTCTGGGAATATACCAAAT